ATAAAAAGTTTTTATTCAAGGTTTTAAACAAACGTTAAAACTTACAAGATCCATTACAAATAGGATAAAACTATCTAAGTGTTACTTACAATCTATTTAGAATCAAAAAGACATCTATTTACAAAGCATTTCTTAAACCTCTCTGTGTTAACACGTGGGATCTGGTAAGGATGCGACCTACCGCATAGAGCCCTGTTCTTAAGTGGGGGAGAAGATCCTGCAAGGGATGCGAAGAAGTACCGATAATGCTTTTCTAGAGCCTTACATCCCTAGCTGTCTATAATAACCTGCCGAATTGATGACTGGTGTTGAACATACCCAAATCGAAAGGCCCTTTTCAGTAGCCTATCAATCTGAATAAGGTACTTCGTGTAAGCAGCAACACCCCAAACTCTAATACAGTAAGTAAAAAGTGACATAATGAGACAATTGAAGAGGTAATCAAGATCAGATACACTATAACCATTTCTTTTACACACTCTAAGGATATGCATACGTTTCAGAGCTCTTTCCATCAAACTATCAAAATGCTTATCCCAGTTGGTAGGACTATCATGAAAAGTCACTCCCAGAAGCTTTAAATATGACACACGTTTAAAAGTAACAATTGGCTCAGGAGGGGGTAAGGTCTTTCTTCCTTTTATGATTAGTTCCTTGGTCTTACTTAGGTTAAGTTTCATCAAATTTTACTCTGCCCAGACTTTAATATTCTCTACCTCCTCAGAGGCACTATCGTTGACATTAGGCCCAGCGGGTATATTAAATGTAATGTCATCAGCGTATTTAGTCATTAAGGTATTCTGGGAGGTGGGGTTTATATCATTAACCATGATGATAAAAAGTACAGGCCCCAGAACTGTGCCTTGGGGCACACCTCGATTAACAGATAAAAATTGGGTCTTGACTTTGTCCTACAGACACCCTTTGCTGACGATCTTTTAAGAAGTCAATAACCCAATTAACAATGTAAGGGTTAATATCAGGCACTTTCTTAAGTTTATCAATTACAACTCTGTGGGAGACTGAATCAAAGGCTTTCGAGAAGTCAAAAGACAGAATTCTAACAAGGTTAGAATGGCCATCAAGCCATCTCATTCAAAACTGCTGATTATATAATAGGGCAGTCTCAGTACCGCAATCCTTCTGATAGATGAAATGATCTGAATGAATAAAGTCGGAAACAGGTTTCTTTAATTCGAAATCAAGGATTAACCTTTCAAAAAGTCTCATTATAATGTCAGTGACTGATATCGGTCTAAGCTGCTCCAAAGCAGAAATATTGGTCTCCTTAGGAATACGTCGCACATTTGCAGTCTTCCAAATCTTAGGGACTTGCTGGGAGACTAAGGAAACATTTAAAATGTGTGTTATCACAGGTGTTAGTTCCAGGGTATACTCCTTCAAAAACCGAAAAAAAAAAGGAATCTCATCGACTCTCCTTATCCGAGATTGAGAAAAACACAAACCTTCAGTTAGAGTTAGGGCCACATGTTAATTGAGGTAAAGACAGAATCCTTCAAAGGAAGTCTCTTCAAAACCAAATTTGGGGTGCACCTTTTAATAAGGTTTATTTTAAAGGATATTACAAAAGACATCAACAGAATCTCCTATTTAAGCCCCTAAGTGGAGCGCATTTTGCTCCAAATTAATCATGAATTCTCCAAAAAAATATTTATACTGCTTCTCAAGTACTGCTTGTCGCCCTCATGCAGTTTTGATAATTATTTGCCCTTTTTTGTCTTTACTTTTGTTTTTTACCACTTGCAGATTTTGAACCAGGATTTTAGAAAACGTAGATTTAATTTGAGAATGTGAAGAGCATTGCAATAAGTTATCTTTGAGATCGAAAAAGATGTAACACTCTCCAACGACCCTAGAGCATATTTTTGGCTTGTGACGCTGCATTTTAAATAATTCAAAAATCACACTCACATTACATTCTAGCGCAGGTTGTAATTAACATTAAAAGAAGGACCTTGATTACGTAATTGCTTTCGTTCTAATTAAAAGTAGCTGGAGTTCTGTCTTGTTTCATTATCGAGATTACCCCCATATTTTCGTATATTGTTCACAGTTTGAATCACTTACGCAGTTAGTCGTTCCTGTTTGAACCGGTTTACAATGATACCCTTATAAGAGAACGCCCCCTTAGTATCATGCAGTTGGAGTTAGGAGATCGAAAGAGTCACATCAGAGTTTTTACTATGGTTTTGTCTGTTCGAGTCACGCAACGTTGGAGTTTCTTTACGCCTTTAAGACAGGATCAATTGTAAGTTGCAGTCGATTGTATCCCGTTTCGTTTTCCTCTCGATTTCGCTTTTTTTGTAATTAGTCTTAGCGTGTTTTCTTTGTCTTGTACATCGTAATTTTCCTCTTTTAGTTTAACCGCACGTGTAAGATATTCAAACGAGTCGATGATCAGATTAAATGCTGTTGAATCAACTTGAATCAACCACGTCTTCTGCACTGGGTACCCGACACAGGTGATAAATTGACTATCAAACGAATTTTGAAGAAACCTTCAGGTGGTCCATTTAATACGTTTTATTTGTGAAGTACACAGCAACTTGTAAGATATCGTACTTGAAAGCTGAAGAAGAAGCCTTTAGGTGGTCACTATAATACGTTTTATTCGTAAAAAGAACGGTCACGGAATCTAACAATATCTTATAAGATATCGTACTTGGAAGGTGAACTCAATTATGCAAATGTATTAATCATGTACATTCAGCGGAAAAGTTTTTAGATTGCTCTTCTTCGTGCACCATGGAACCGGAATACAACATGTTAAACCACACCACAAAATTTGCTTCTCGGCACCAAGAGTCTTTTAATTCTAGTTCAGAAGATCGTGGCAGAGAACACCAGGTTTCTTTTCTTGGTGCAGTTGGTTTCTCTACATCAGTCATCATTGCTATTTTATCACCATCGGCTGTGGTTGGAAATGCATTGATTTTGGCTACCATTTGGAAAAGAACTTTTGCTAGGACTTCATTCCACGTTCTCTTAAGTGGATTGGCGTTAACTGACTTTTTCACTGGACTTTTTGCCCAACCTTTATTCGCCGCAGCGTTTCTAAAGAACTCTTTAAACATTCGTACAGCAGGCGAGAGCATTAGCACATACTTCATTAGCATAACGCTTTTTATTATGACGGTGATGTCCATTGAACGATGGCTGTATATGTCTCAAAGATCAGTTAGTGCATCACGTCGTAGATATTTGTTGCTTATCCTAATGTTTTTTTCCCCAATTCCAGCAGTTGTTAGCGGCGTATTAGCCAAACATAAAGATCCGGCGTATGAGTTCGTGTTTACCATAACTACAGTGGTGGAGATATCGTGTTGTTATCTTATGACATTATTCGGTTATTTCAAAGTGTACCGGATTCTACGCCATCATCAGCAACAAATTCGTGCCAGCTGCACGTCTCAGAATTTTGGTCAACCCACTATAGACCTTGAAAAGAACAAGAAATCTGTGGCTACCATGTTATGCATTTTGTTATTGTTTTCTGTTTGTTTCATTCCTTATATTGTGACAGCTCCGCTAAAATTTACTCCTGATTCTAGATATGTAGGAAGAGCTTACGCTGCTGAGAAAGTCTCAGTGGTGTTTTTATTTTTGTCTTCAACACTGAACCCAGGGCTCTACGTTTGGAGTATGAGGGACATACGTACTGGCCTTAAGCAATTGTTGCGCATGAGCAACTAGCGAAGTTGCTCCTTCCATGTTCATTATCTGCTGATGTTCGATTTAAAAACCGGGATAGCTGCTGCCTAACACATATAAACCCAGTGATGACCCTAGTTTATATTACCAAATAGTTCCCTGCAGGTCACTGGGATAGCAACAGTGCATAGAAGACGAAGGTCTGGCGTTTGATACCCCTTATGAACTTACGTGATTTTTTTTGTTATCTTGTGACGGTGCTCGCTTATTTTAAAGTTTATCCAATTATTCGCCGTCATTGTAACCAAATTCAAGGCAGCGGACTTTCACGGAACTTTGGTCAACCCGCAACTGACGTAGCAAAGTATAGCAAATCTATAGCAATTTTGTTATCTATTTTTTTTTTTTTTCTCTATCTGTGTCTTACCACATGTTTTTTTCCACTACGGTAAATTTATTAGTTCACAAAGGGTGGCAACAGACGAAAGAAGGACAGATCTCTGCAATGGTATGTGTGAAACTAATGTTTTTCTCACCGTCGCACAATCCAGGGTTTTACCTTTGGAGAGTGAGAAATATTCATAATGGTCTCAAACAGCTTTTCAGTTGTTAATTAAAACGTTTTTTCCGTTCTTTTGTGTTTCATTTTAAATTAAAATGTAGTTTAAATTAAATGTAGTTTAAATCAAATTCAGTTTAAATTTAAATTTAGTTTAAATCAAAATTTAGTTTTGTGATTAATTTTAAATTAAAATTTAGTTTCCGAAGAAACTGACGAGAATATTAATGTTGTTCAAGCTATTATTTTCTTTCCAAGGTAGACTTATAATTCGATTCACATTTCAAGTTATACAGGAAATTGAATATAAAGTTTAATTGGTTCCGGAATTTGCCTTGAGAGATTTGACATGAATTTGAAAGAGTTGTTTGAAATTTTCTTAACAATCTATTTCATACCGCATTTGATTGAACGGTCTCAGTAATTGAAAAAAGAAAAAAAAAACAATTCCGAATTCCGGACACCATTTTAAATAACAACGTCATCAAAATGAAGAGACAGTTTGTTATTTGACTTACTGGATTGATTGTGTATACTTTTATTTTTGGTGGGGATCTACAATACGCTTTGAATGTTTATTTTATCCAAGTAAAAAAAATTGATTGATTGAGCTGTTTGAAATGTTCCTAACACATATAACAGCAGTTAGGGAAATAGGCAAACATTAATATCAACGGTGTTTTATTTATGTTCAATTTGTAAACCGGGATAACTGTTACTTAACAAATATAAACCTAGTGATGACCATAGCAGGTCACTGGTACAGCAACAGAGCATGGAATCCGAAGGTATGGCGTTTGATACCTGTTAGAAATACACATTTTTTTCTTTATCTTGCGCTAGAGACAAAGAGAAATCTATCACCGTAAAAAAAGACATCTTTCTTTATTGCATAACAACTTCAAAACGTTTTGAAAAATCTTTGCACCTATATGTATATCTTATTAATTTTGACCTAAAACGCAGTCGACGAGCAAAAGCAACTCACGAAAGCTCACAAATATCATTTCAATGAGGTTGGGTTATGTATGGCCACAGTAAAGATTTAGCGCCATGGAAAAAGCATCTAAATGGCCTCTTCTTGTCTTCATATCTCAGTACTTTAAAGTCTGTTTCGCGTCTTCTGCCTCGAAACAGAAGCCTCTCTTATTTTCTATATTTATTTATCAAACCTGATTAATAGCTGTATGACGAATACAAGACGCTCAAGATCAAGTTTACCGCGCATGTAAATTTGCGTATCGAAGACAGGTGCAACTTTGCTTTAAATATGCAAAATAATATTGGTCAGTGTTATCTTTTCAAAGAGCTGTGATCCACTTACCTCACGCAAATCAATTTTCAGTATAGGAGGATTCTTTGCGAATGAATGATTTATGGCCAAAAGTGTAAGAATGATTCTTCGTAAAGTTGAACATAGAAATCTTCGCTGAATGTCAGTCACCAGCATTCGAGCAAAGGCGTGTCGATATTATATTTCTGATAGGCAAACATTAATGTCAGCGGTATTAGCTTCTGAAGGGTAATAAAAATGTTAATAATGAATAAAACACGTCTAAAGTAAAACTTCTATACTCGCATAAACCTTTCACAGACGATTTCATTACTTAGCGAGGTGTAGTCTACCAGGAAATATAACCGTGCAACTCCATACCATTCTAAAACACAGTCTAAGTCCCAATGATAATCTATTGTTTTCTTCCTTGTTTTATTTTATCAAAGAGTTGCAAGCATAATGAAATAAGGGATTCAGCGAAAATTTTTGCCTTTAAATTTTTTGACGTCGCCTGAATTAGATAATCTTCATCGGGGTTTGAAATATAACATCACAGCTTACTTGGAAAACAAATGGACTTGAGGATAATGAAAAGCTCTCATCAAGCCAATTTGCAAGCATAATGATTACAGAAAGTAATCATTGGATTCGATCGAGGGACAGAAATAAGTACACAGGAGCCGACTCATATCTTATTCTGCTAGCAGGGGAAGCAAACGGGAAAAGACATTGAAGATGAGCAACAAAAGTGCATCCACAATTGGAAGGGTGAAGAATAATACTCTAGGAGGAGTGTAACTGGCAATCTCCACTAAAATTTTAGTGGCAGTGTAAAGCAAAAGTAATTTGGTTCAGTGTTAGCTTTGAAACGCAGACAAAATCAGACGAAGACTGATTATTTCAATTCATTGTCAACAACCTGCTTCAGGTATCCATAGAAATAAAACTGAAGAAAAAATATGATATTAGTCGAGCTCTGTGAAAATCATTTACACGACTAAAATCGAAAGAATTTTATTGCGAAAAAGTAGACTGTGTTCTGCATTGTGTATTTCATTAGGTCTAAACACTGAGAAAAAAAGGTTTTTTTTAACAGTTATGGCCGACCATTAGCGGTATGTCCTCTGCTAGACAACCTTTTATTTAAGACGAAACAAGATCCTTTATGTTCAATTTACTGTATAACTTTAAATGTGAATTAAATTATAAGCTTATCCTTATCAAGAAGGTCATTATATGAAAACCTAAACAAAATTAATATTCCTGTGCACTTTTCGGAACCTCTATGACTTACACCACATTTTGATTTAAAATTAATCACAAAAGAACCAAAACAAAAAAAAAACCTTTTAATTAATTACTGAAAAGCTGTTTGAGACGATAACGAACATCTCTAATTATATTCATCGTGGTTTGAAATGGGAAACATTCGAACTTGAGGATAATTAAAAGATCTCACCGAGTCAATTTGCAACTGAGCATAATGATTACAGAAAAGGATCCGAGGCCGGGGCAGAAATAAGTAAACAGAAGCCGACACATATCTAATTCTGCAATCAGGGAAAGCAAACGGGAAAAAGTATTGAGGATGAGTAACAAAAGTGCATCCACAGTTGGTGGGGTGAAAAACGATACTCTGAGAGGAGTATAACTGGCACTCTCCATAAAAAAAATTAATGGCAGTGTAAAGCGAAAGTAATTTGGTTCGGTTTTTGCTTCGACATGCAAACAAAATTAGACGAAGGCTGATTATTTCAGTTCATTGTCAACAACCTGCTTTAAGTAGCCGTAAAAATAAAACTAAAGAAAAGATAGGATATTAGTCGAACTCTGTGAAAATCACTCATATGGAGTTTAAAGAAATCTTACAATATCCAATGGCGTTTAGAACGGAAAATCAGGCTGTGTTTTTCATTGTGTATTTCATTATGTCTAAACACTGAGAAAAAAGTTTTTTTAACAGTTATGGCCGACCCTTAGCGGCATGTCCTCTACCAAACAATCTTTTATTTGAGACGAAACGAGAAGCGATTTCAAGACCAGCATATTCAAGAACTCTCTAACCACATAAATTACTCTCGGTATCGCTGATTCAAGCTGTACCGACTCGTTTCGCATATGCATGAGATCCTAAGAATATTATTAAGATTTTCTTTTTGTTCTCTTACACTATAGACACATAAATTGTATCTAGGTATAAAAAAAGATTTCGGGAGACGTCTGATGAAAATTTGCGGACATTATTCAATAACTTTATTTAATTTGATATCTTAGAAGATCTCAGATTCATTCCATTCCAGAATTGATTATGTTCATGTTGATATATTTTTCTTCGAGGATCACAGGACTATTCACTCAGTTGCAGAGTAACTTTTTCGATCATGACTGGGGTGGTGTTTCTTGTCTCCTTCTTTGGTAACTCCTCGGTCATTCACATTGTTAGGAGAAGCCAAAAAATGAGGTCTACCACTTTTCTGCTGATACTCAACATGGCGTGCGCAGATTTGGTGATATCCACTTGGACTAGTGCCTTGTTAATCAAGTATTTGCTCTTGTGGTCAGTTTGGATCTCCGGGACTTTCGGAACTGTGTGATGTAATACAAGCTTGTATATTGCTTTGGTTTCCTTTCTTGCGTGTATTCTTAGCTTGGTTGGTATAACAATAGATCGATACATGGCAGTCAGTCGACCTCTAAAACACAAGCCTTTGTCAAAATGGACCAAAATAACCATCCCTACCATATGGGCAACGTCCCTTCTGCTGCCAGTTGGTACTTTGTTGGGAAAAAATGAATTTTCCAATCATTCAGGGTTCACTACGTGCGGTGAAACGATATCCAATACCAATTCCATAATCCTTGCGTCTTGTTTCTTATTGCCTTTTACATTAATGGCAGTTCTTTATCCCATGATCAGTTATCATCTCTGGAAGAGGCAGGTGCCAGGGGAATTCAACGCTTTGCAACAGCAGATAGCAAACCGCATGGCACGGAGAGTCACACTTATGATGATTACAGTGATTGTCATTTTTTTCATTTGCTGGGCGCCACAATTTGTGTTTTCTTGGCTGCATCCATTTGCTGAGCAGCTAGCGATGGAAGCGCCAATATGGCTGATTCCTTTTACCATTTGGTTGAAGATATTAAACAGTGCAGCGAATCCTATTATCTACGCGATATTTAATGAGTCCTTTCGAAAAGGCTTTAGACACATTCTCTACTGTGACAAGTTCTTCGAACTCAATACAGCGGAAATAAGACCTCAGCCATGCGCTAACACCCACACGAACCGTGAGCCAGCTCAAGATGTCCAATTACTTAACTTCCATTCTATACTTCATTGTGAAATATACGACAAATAGAAGCCCTTTTGCCGTCCGTCTGTTCAGTAATTTATCTCAGATGACCACATTTTGAGGTCTTCTGTGACGTGTTACCATACAGACCCACGGCAACCTGGAATCGATATTTTTGGTATGATAACAAAGAAAAATATTGTTGATAATGGTGTCAGCTATCTGTCTGTACTCTAATAGATCCTATGTAAGACCCAATCGAAATGCATGTATAATTTATTGATAATTGATGAAGAGATCTTTCATTTCACTCTCGAAAGCTGTGCAAGGAATATCAAGCTGCACGAAACGCTAAAAAACTAAACCAAAAGTGGATCAGTGCAAGGTTTCCAACTACCGTCATGCAATGCAAAATCATTTTTAAATGAAATAGTTTCATTTCATTTTGCATGTTGGCGTTGTAATTATCTTTACCCCTTTCATTATTATGACTGTACAAGATCATGGAGGAAAAATTACATATGCTCTAAATAATATCCTGAGAGTTTTTCTCGGTTGTGTGCCTCGTGTGCGTTATAAAACGAAACGAGAAAAGCTCAGGATATTCCATGCTCCATGCTATTTACATAGGTATTAAGACGTCCTTAATTCTCAACAGGTTTCTTCTCGTTTTTTCACAATTTTTAATTAACGCTTTAATTAAATAGGGAGGATGAACTATATGTCCATGGAGACACAACTTTTGTGGTAGCATCAAATTTTAGTATAATGCAGTTGAAAAGGAAGGATAAAAGGGAAACCGTGTCGCTTAAATATAGTGCAAATTTCTTCTATTTGTGTATGGACAACAGGTGCTTCAGACCAGCCCTAAAATCCCTCATTCTCCAAAAGCACAAAACTGGGTTGAGAGAAGTAGAGAGAAATACAAGCACTACAGACACTCTCTCGCCGATCATTCCAGCTTTTGAATGTGTACCAGAGTCGACAGGAACAGCCACAGTAAATGGTATGAAACATATCATTGGAGAACAGTAACAAGATGTAAACCATGGTACAATACAATACAATACAATATATTACAATACAATATTCTTTATTTAACGAAGGTGACGCAATTAACCCAATGAGTTATCTAACTTACGGCCTTCACAACAATATAAACCCACCATCCCACCCCAGGGGAGGACATCCATCACACACTAATCTCGTGTGTGGGAAATTAACGTCTCCTACCCCAACCCGGCAGGAGACGGGAACTCCATTTATTTGTCCCTATCCGAGAAGACTAGAATATCTAACCATTTCTTGATGTTATAGAAAGGTAGCAAATTCTTCTCAATTATTTTAACACCTTGAGCGTTGGTCCGGCCGGGGCTCGAACCCTCGACCTCCCGCACAACAGGCCACGAATCTCTTGTATTTTTCCCGGTTCATTGCATTCTGACCAAATCTTTGAGCTGAAACCTTGCTGGCTTTAATCTCCTGTCGATGATGTCAAACGATCTTATAAACTTTATAATAAGCGATTAATATGATGACATAACAAAATGAAATTTGTGAGATTGAATCTCAAATGTTTTTCTAAACCGGAAATTCTGGTTCATTAAAACCCTTATTACAACGTTGGGAATTGGGAGGAACAGTGAATATCTACGACGGGATGTCATGAAGGATGGATCTTCAAGACATGTAAAGCCATCGCTCAATGGAAATCGCTGCTATGGTTAGAATGGTTACGGAGACTAAGAAAATGGTACTACCTTTGCCTACGGTACGCATAATGGCAACTAGAATTGTACTATCCTGTACCTTCGTGAGTGTCGTTGGAGACGTTAGAAAGTTTGCTGCATAACATGGCTGAGCAATAAGTCCTGTACAAAGATCGTTTAATGCTAATCCATTCAGAACGATATGAAACGTTGTTCGTGGAAAAGTTCTCCAAATTCGTGCTAAAATTATTGCATTTTCTACCACAGTCACGAGTGGTAACACAGCGATAACAGTTGCCTTTGAATGGATAACTACAGAACGAAAATTATGATCGTTTTCCAAGTTGTAGTGTTCTGATTTATATATTCGCTAGGCTATCGCTCCAAACGTAAGCTTTTGCCGAAACTTTGCGGTAGCAATTTACACTGTCGACTAAGTTGAGTTATATAACGTTGTATTCTTAGATTGATAAACTTTTTGGAGTAAACGTTAAAGTATAGGTCTTATTTTGTAGCTGTAAGTAATGAACCTCGAAGCTTTATCCCCTACACTGAATTTTCATCGAATGATCGGCTCAGTGATTTTATATCAATTGATTTTTACAAAGTAATCATATAAAGTACAGCCTTGCAAAAACAAAAACAAAAGTTTAACTTTTGCACCTGTATGTTGTTCCGGTATTAATCATTTTGTTTCTATTCTGTAGATAACAGAAACATTCAAAGCGTATTGCAGATCCCCAAAATAAAGTCATTGTACAAATAATCAATCCTGTAAGTTAAATAACACACCATCTCTTTATTTTCATGACTTTGTTTTTGACATAGGTGTCCGAAATTAGTTTTTTTAGTTATTGAGACCGTTCAATGAAACGCCGTATGAAATAGATTGTTGAGAACATTTCAAACAGCTCTTTCATGTCAAACCTCCCAAGGCAAATTCTGGAACTAAATGAAACATTTTTAAATTTCCTGTGAATCGAATTATAAGCTTATCCTTGTCTCAATGAAAACCTGAACAAAATTAATATCAACGTGTTCTTTTGGGAAACTACTTTGACTTACATCAAATTTTGATTTAAAATTAATCACAAAAGAACGGAAAAAACGTTTTAAATTAACTACTGAAAAGCTGTTTGAGACCATTAGTACCATCTCTCATTCTCCAAAGGTACAATCCTGGATTGAGGGACGATAACAAAAACATTAGCACCACCGATACCATTGTAGAGATCTGCCCTTGCTTCGTCTCTTTCCAGCCTTTGTGAACCAACAAACTTACCGTAGTGGACAAAACATACGGCAAGACACAGGTAGAGACTTCTATAAAAATAATTTACCGATCCCCACTAATTTCTTGAGAGAAATGCTCTGCCTGATACTAAAAGAGAACTCATTTCTGTTCAATAGACAACTTTATCTACAAACCCACGGAACGGCCATGGGAACAAAAATGGCCGTGGCTTTTGCCAATATCTTCATGGCAAGAATAGAAAAAGAGATAATATGCAGGAGCGAAATCAAACCGCTAGTTTGGAAGAGATATATCGACGATGTCTTTTGTCTATGGGACACAACCGAAGAAAATGTAAAAGCATTCGTTGAAAGGGCAAACAACTACCACGATACAGTAAAATTCACGGCTGAGATATCACAATCAGAAATTACATTCTTGGACACAAAAGTGTTTAAAGGCATTAGATTCCAGAAGGATTCAACTCTCGATGTGCAAACGCACTTTAAACAAACAGAAACTTTCCAATACACGGATTTCCACTCGTGTCATCCACCAGGCGTAAAGAAAGGATTTCTAAAGGGGGAAGCTTTACGCCTCCTTAGAACAAACTCATCAAAATCTACGTTTAAGAAAAACGTGCAAAACTTCAAATCACGCCTACAGAACAAGGTATACCCATATGAATTCCGAGAGAAACACCTATGCGAAGTCTACTTCGAAAATAGAGAAAGATCCCTCCAAAACAAAGACAACCGAACTAAAAAGAAAATATTGCCTTTCATAGCACAGTATCATCCGGCTTTACCCAATCTTAAGAATATATTGATGGGAAAATGGCACCTTATTCAAAACCAACCACAACTCAAAGAAAAATTTCAAGTGCCACCCATGATAGCATATCGCAAAGGAAAGTCGTTAAAAGACATCTTGGTCGGAGCTAAACTCTGAAGGCAAAGATTCTAAACTAGCTCGCCCATGGTAGCGGTCGTGCAGAGCCCGTCACTATTTTTTCAGCAGATTGTTGACAATGAACTGGAATAATCAATTTTTCGTCTAATTTTGTTTGCATTTCAAAGCTAAAAACCGAACCAAATTACTTTTTCTACTTTGAATAATTGATTTTTTGTTTCCGGTCACTCTTTTATTGATTTGCTTCAGAATTCTTTCAAATCAGCCCATCTCGACACTCATACAACACTCACTTTTTGACTTGCTTTTCTTTATTGTAACTGTTGGATTTTGTTGATTACTTATTGACATCATGTTGGGATTAATTACTAATGTTTGAAGAGCCCTTGAAGCTGTTAAAGTAAACAGAGATGAAATGAAATCAAAAATGCAATCTTTCCTTTTCCTAGTTTCGTTTATGAGTAAATTTGCTTGATGACACTTTTAAGTATTCATAGTTTTTTTTCACAAATATCATTTGGTTTACCTGTTCAAAGCCTACTGTGCTTACTCCACATTTAATATTGAAAGGAAAGTAAAATAAATTTAGCTAAGCTTACATTTGTCGTTTTTTCCCGTGATTAAATCTCTGAATTATCGGGATAGCTCACTTTGAGGCCAAATAGAATTATGTACCATCTCTTATAAAGTTATATTGTATAGAACAAAATTAAATTTGATGTTCAGTTTATGTTCTATTTGAGAACCGGTAGTGCATAATATGGACTTAACGAAGACAACTTTTAAGTTGCAAAAAAAAATGTATTTAAAATTTGAATTTCTTGTGGGCTGGAATGGCCATGCAAAGTTAAAAGCATTCTTTTTACAAGGATTTATTGGATGCACTCTTCTTTGTTCAATTGTGTCTCCACAAAATACTCCGCTCAGACCAAAGAAATGTTTTTATAAGGGATGAAGTCAGGATCTTAAGCTAGCTAAAAGCTGTTTAAAGCCCCTGCGAATGTCCCTCATTCTCCAAAGGTACAACCCAGGGTTGAGTGACGAAGACAGAAATACGAGCACAGTTGCTAGGTATATCGCCGATGTCATTTGTGTTTTTGTAACTGTAGTTGTAAGAGCTACTACCATGGACACAACGAAAGGTAGGAAACAGATAGAGAATAGCAAAAAGATATATAGCATGGTTGCCACAGATTTCTTGTACTTCGCCGAGTCTATGGCAGGTTGACCAAAGCTCTGAGATATTCCGTTGGCTTGAATTTGAAGCTGGTGACTACGAATAATTTGATAAACCTTAAAATAAGCGAGCGACATGATAAGATAGTAAAACGAAAGATTTGCAATTGTCATTGGAAGTAAGATATCCAACAGAGCGCTGGCTGGTTCCGACAAGGCTAAAATGAAGACAACGAGTGAAGGAACCGGAAAGAGTAATATCACTATAGCAACGAAATATCGACGATACGATGTTGTAAAAGATCTCCGAGACATATGCAACCATCGTTCAACGGACAATACTGTCATGATAGCAACAGTGCCGTTGACAAATATGAAGGTGCTAGATCCAGTGATAAATTTAATGGCATTTACTACCTCAGGATTATCTTGTATCACTGCCGAGTTTGTTGTATTTATCAATTGTAGCGAAGCGTAGAAAGGCTGGGAAATTAGTCCTGTTAAAAAGTCAGAGACTGCCAATCCGCTAAGAATAAAATGAAACGATGTTCTCAGAAAGGTCCTCCTCCATATTGTGGCCAATATCAACGCATTTCCCACAATGGCTAGGGGTGATAAAAGGGCAATAACTACTGCTGTTGAGAAAGTTAAAGCATCACTCGGGGAATCGAGGTTTTGATCGCTAAAGTCGACGTTAGAGCTTGGAGAAGTTGAGTTTTGATTAGAACACATATGGTATGAAGTGTTCCTGAACATGGCGCAGCCTCGTTAGCGAATGTGACTATGCCGATCAGATTTCTTGCTAAAGCTACCACCATGAAATAATCAGCACGCGAGGAATAACTTGTTTTGATCCCCACAACCCGACCGACTTGCAACAGCTGACTGTGGCGTCCGTGACTGAGACCGACTCTAAGGCTTGTAAGATTAGTCCACCGATTTTTCACATCGCGTTCTGTCAAGTAATATGTAGCGAAAATATTCCGGT